TCTCTCTCTCTCTCGTCGTTATTCCTTCTCTCAGTCACTGGTCTAGTATCTAGTCTCTGTCTGGCATCGTTGCTTTCTCTGTTCATCTTTGTTGCTCGTTCAATCACTCTCCCTCTTACTCGTTCGTTCGTATACACTTGCACAGTAGTCTGATCACATCCTCTCTCTCCCACGCATGTATATTTTATTTAACTCGTTCCTTTCTTTCTCGCCAATATGTCCGTTTAGTTAATTTCATTTTTGTTTTATTCTTTCTATTTACTAGATTTTTTTCCCTTTAATCCAGCGTGATTTTTATACAGCGTGATAAGATAATTTACAGCGTGTTTTTCACAAATTGATTTACAGAATTTTTAATAGAATGTGTGAAAGGTTTATAAAATAGGAATTTGTGAAAGGATTGAAAAGTTATTTTCAGGCAATATTATAAAGTTTTATTTTATTGAGAATAAAATGATATTAAGTTATATAGCGATATGGTCTATGGATCATGATTCGCACAAATAGCTGTACATCGATCATCGATGGACGTAATCTAAGGAAAAGGATCTAAAACTTTTACAACTATCCATTTCCTAAAACATAACCAGTATGCTTCTTTCCCAGATGTTTATATAATATTCCTATAAAACCTTACCATCTTTAGTTTCCAACATCAAATCTTACCAATATTTTGTCACTCTTGATTAATTTTCTAAAATACACACGCATAATTTAATATTTGCAAATATTAAGTCGAAAAATAAATCGTATTTTTCGATCACGTCGTTCAATTCATACGACAAAAGATTAATATTTTTCTTACACACGATAAAATCATTTATTTGATTTGCTATTTTAATATCTTTGGAAGCAATGTATTATGTCATTGGAAAATATTGGATCAGTTAACTCTCTAAATTATTTCAATAAATATGTTCAAGTGTTATATCATATATTATTTTTATACAAATATTTTGAATTATTTGAGCAATTCCCAACAAATTATTGTTTTTTGTCTCTATCCAATGCTTGATACAGCGCACCGAGCATGAACGTCCTTGACGGTCGCCGTGGCGACTGCGCAACACGGCACAGCGCAGCGTTGCGCGCCGTTGCGCTTGCGCGAGCTCGATGCACTCGCTCCCCACTTTGCCTATTTGTGTGACAACCGGGCCTCCACTATGCGGCCCACCTTTACCATCACGAGCAACCCCACTTCTCTATTCCTATATATCGACGGTTGCGCATATTACGTCATCGACACCTTCACTCGCCCCTGTTAGCCGAGCACGATGCTCTGCCATTCGTTGCTCTTTCATTGTGTTGGCACGTTGCTTGTACGTCCTCTCGCAACATATTGTTGCTGTTTCAAACGAAAATCTTTTTCTCAAGTTTTGTTTTATATTTCAATTAAAATTCTTATCTTTTGCTATTTCTGTTATTACGTTTCTTTCCCCTCGTTTCGTTTGGAAGATAAGATTAAAGTTAATAATCATTCATTGATTTTTGGAACGGGTTAGTGAAGAATTATTATTTATAATCGAGTATCGCAGGTAGGCATAAGATGGAACATAAATACGTTAATCAATTATTAATTATTAATTAGTTTTTACGATAATTCTATCACTTTTGTTATTCCATATCTCAATAGAATTGTATATATATATATATATGATATTATTTCAAATTATTATTTTTTAATTATCTCATAAAAAGCATAGAGCAAAATTATATCGCATAATACAAAGATGAAACTTGGTTTATTTAAAAAATGAAAAAATTTTTCACTACAAATCAAGAAGAAAAATAAATTTCGAGTTGTGGACAAATGTATAATTGCATGCATAAATATTCACAATTCATCGTGCTATATATCTTTTTTCCGACTTCTTTTTTCTCTTTATTATTAAAAAGGACACACGAATACAGCTTCGATGCGAATAACTTGTTCACCACTGGAACGACGAGTTTCATTAAAAATTTATATGAGCATTCCAATGAATGATATATAAACGTATTTGCATTCGTTAAGCTTTGAAGAGCATTAGGAAGATACGGCACGATATCTTGATATTATTCGATCTATCGATTGAAAATTCAAATAAGAAGTAACTAAATTCTTCAAGAAATTGAACCGCGCAGAATGTCGTTGTTTCAATTAAAATTTTTATCCTGAACAGAATATTAAATACGATTTAAAAAACGAATAACAATTATCAATTTAAAAATTAAGAAATTGTCGAGAAAATAATATTTATGCATAAAAGAAAATTATTTTATTAATTTTTTATAAAATTTTTTGAAAATTACTTTTATAAATTATTTATAATATTTATTTTATAACATGCCTGCTTTTTATAAATTTGCGAAAAACGATTGAATTTAAGTAATTTATTAATTTCCTTTACATGATAAATTTACGATAAAAAAAAACGAAATAATTACAATTTAGATGATTATTTTCAAAAAAATTATATATTAGTTTTCTATCGCGATAACAATATATTTAAAATATTTTCTAAACGAATTTTGACTTTTTAATTTTTTAACGAAGATCAGTAAATATAAATACAAAAATATTTTTCAATATCTGATATAATGTTAAAATTGACAAAATTAATTAAAATAGCTCAATTGTGTAATTACAAAAAGAAATTATAAGACAAGAGAATAAAGGTTATAATAAATATAATTTGAATTAATCATGAAATTAATAATAATAACAAACTAATGAAAATATTGGGAAAAAATTGCTTTTTCTTTTTTTTTAATTTTTATTATTTTTCTCTTATCTGGTTGCAAAAGTCGAAGAATTCAAAACGCGCGGATTCTTATGCGAACATCGATGAATGACATGTAGCGCATCCGAGAATAGATAAACCGCAACTTCCATTTAAAAGCACTGTAGACCAATACTATGACGTGAAAGTAACGATCTAAAGCAAAGTCAATAACCTGTGATAACTGTTTGACCTAAAAGTGCCTTTGGAACTTCGTCAATTCACTTTTTTTTCTTTCCTTTATATTATCATCAAAAACTTAAATATACAGAAATTAGCGGGAAATTATCTTTTATATCAATCATTTTATGAATCTCAACCGATTACCGATTCTTTGTCTTTACGCAACAATAGCTTATTAATATCATTAATTATTTATTAAGTATTTGTAATAAATTAATAAATCAAGTAAAATAAATAAACCAAAGGAATATCTTTTTCATGAAAAGATTTGTTCAATTTTTCACATATAACAATATTCGTGACTAATAAAAATAAGCAGTAACTACTTGATTTGATCTTCTCTTTCATCATAAACGGTATATTTATAAAATAATAATTCTTTCGAGTACACATTACAAAACACGATATCTATAAAAATATATAAACTTGTGGAAATTTGTGCAAAACTATTAATTGAAACTATAAACCTCACTATTCCTCGATTCCGATTGCGAGGCACATCGATTTCACCTAATTCCCGTGCCAACTAATTAAACGGTGAATACTCTTGCGTTATTATTATTATTTATTTTTTTTTTTTTTTTATTTTCCCTTCTCTCTATATTTCGTACCACGTTGTGATAGTGAAATTGCAAGGAACACGCGTAGGTTTATAAATTCTGATAAACGGTTTCTGATATCGTATATCATGCATAGATATTACGAAAATATATTATGCATGCATTGCGCGAAAAAAGGGAAATATATGTACATATAGCATTACAAGCGAATTAGAACGTTCGCCTATCCCCGTTGCCGCCAATCTAATTCGTGCGTATGTGCAATATTCTTGCAAAAGTGTAATATGTTATATTGTAACGGTATATGTAGAGTGAGAGTGTCGAATGTTTGTCTCTTCTTCCATGTTGTCCATTAATTGTATTAATTATCGTCTTCCTTTTCCGGCATCGCCTTGTTGGATTTTTTTTCCACATGAACGATATTGACAATAACGGCGGAAGCGATAGAAAGAGCAGCTGGTAGAAAATTCCTAAGCAGGTAGGAATCGAGAGGAAAAGTAGGGCAACAACTCTTCAAAAGTTTCATCGTCGATGTGGAAATATTCAACTGATTGTAGTAGGACGATCCCGCGGTCCGCCGTGTGTTGGTATATAGGCGTCTATAAAGCGCCTATGGTAAGCTGATTCTAGAAGTCGTTGGAAATGTTCGTTGCATGTATGCGTGCGTGCACGTATAGCGCGAGCACCGGAAACTGATCGTCGGTGGATAGAAGAAAATATCGCGAGGATTTTTTTGCGAGCAAAAAATAATATCGAACAGCAGATGCATGTGTTGACAATCTATATTTTATCACTGGAAATCGTTGGCGTTATTATGCAATTATAGCGACAATCACGACTAGATAAGAATTGTGCAATTTATAATATATATATAACTATGTTCGTTCATGTTTGAAGCGTGCGACGCTCTTCACAATACGTGGTATATTTATAGAATCGAAATTTCTTGTGTAAAAAACGTATTTGGAATTTTTATATTTTTATCTTTTTTTTTAAACAAATACTTGAAAACTATAATGTATCAATGATATAGATCCTTTGTTTTAATTAATTTTTTTGAATTTCAATTCAATATATTATGTCGTAAAATGATTGATGGGCAAAGAAATCAAAAATTGAAAGAGAATTGAAATCTAAATAATGAATTATATATATTTATAATATGTGACATTTGAAAAAACAAATCTGGTACGAAGAAAAGATATATATATATATATATATACACCATCATCAGAAATATTTTTGATCTAAAAATTTACATGCTTTCATGAATTTAGACATGTCTTATGTAAACTGTCACTTTGCCGGCCGGCATTCTTTAGGCTTTTTATTATGCACGTAACGCGTGTGCATACATCAAAATCCGAGTTGAATCGTGATTCAGAAGTTTGTGTGTGTATGTGTATGGAAGCGCTGTTTCGAAGGGAAGAGCAGTATAGACGTTTACGAACAATACAAGATAGAGCGCGGTTAGATGTGGAGGGGATAGATATCTATAGTTAGAGAGTAGATGAAAAGAGTGGGGGAAAGTAGAGTGCGTGCGCGCTCGAGTTGAACGCGGTTGTCAGTGTCAATTGGTTCGCCGCGGCGACTTAAGGTGTCGTCGACGTGTAACCCGACGTTGTACTCGAAAGTTTTTCCTCGCGTTCCGTCATAGTTGGAAACAATACGTTTGTCATTCGTATCATCCCACGTTTATTCTTGTGTGTTTACCATCCTTGCTGCGAAAGCAAACGACAAAGCGTTTATTACAACGGTGGTTCGGAAGATCGGAATCGATCAGAAACAGAAACTTTGATTTTAATTCGTTCATAATTTTTTGTTCGTCTGTCTGCCCGTCAACGACGACGGGCAGCCACGTTTCATCGATCGAGCAAACAAGTTCTTTTTTTTTGGTGATCCCGCTGAAATATCGTAAAAGCAGCGTGTCTGATTGGTGACGATCCACAGTGTGTACGATCGGTCGAACGTGAGACTAATCACGAGAAACTTCATAAGCTCACTTTTTGTCGTTTCTGTTCTGTACGTTATTGCCGATTAAAAACGTCACGTGTGGTGCCGGACAACGAGAGTATATGCGAGAATAATCAGAAACGCCTGCACGCTAAGTGGACGGCAGAACGCTCAGATCGGATACATGTTAGCGTGCTTCGATATCGGTGAACATCAGTGAGACGTGCTGTGTCACTGCGCCCCGACGACAACACGAAGAGGCTCTTACAAGATGTAAGTACTGCCCTGATATAGAATATATAATATAGCTTGTTCATAGCTCCATATGGTAGCATACGAAAACAATTTATACCATTCGAACGTATCGATCATGAGGCCTGGTGATCCAATTCAAATACGACATTCAGGTTACCGTCATCAACCTAACCTGATTCGAGAACGGACTAGGAAAATAACGAGAATTTGTAAATAGTATCTGGTACTTGAGCGTCGCGCGATCGACGATTCTAGAAAATTGCGCTATTGGCGGTCTTTCGATGGCGTGTAGTCGTCGTGTTGATGTCGAGTTCATGGAATTTTGAACGAGTCCCGCTCTTTGCCCGCTTTTTTTTTTTGCCTCGACGGTTGACGTATCACATGTCTACTTTACCGACTGTGTTTTGAAAACAGCCGTAAATGTTCATGAACGCGGATATATGAACAGCCGCGCTCTTTCCAGACATACATTGCACGCGCAGGCGCGTGACCTTTCCTAAGTCCTTTTCTCCTTTCGCTGCGACCGTAGATAGACTTTTTTTCTTGCCGCTCGTCATTCCACAGAACGAAACAAGGAGTGTCGAACACTGACTTCTACTGGGGTCAAACGATACACTCGACTTTTCATCGCTTCATGTCAATATTTATGTCAGAAATTATACTTGTTTTCACTATACATATTACGAAACTTGTTCTCGTCACTGATTATATATAAGAAATTCCTACTACTATTTAATTACTTTCATGATACAATCTCTTGCCGTAAATTTTAAAAATGATAATTTTCACTAATATAAAAATAAGAAATGAATACTGAATATCATAAATCGATAGAATTCAATTTCATTTAAACTTTGATAAATAGGTTATGTTATAATAGATTATATTAATTAGTAAATTATTTTCTTCTTCAATCGAAATTGTCATTCACGATCATATTTGTATAATTTGTGTTCAAGCGATTTTCAAATTAACCAAGGTCAAGGATTGCTCGATCTTCTTGTAAATTAAAAATATCAGTGTGTGAGTATAATTCGCGATGACTAGTCCAAACGCAATTACACATGGAATAGTGTAAGAGGCGTGTCGAATAAAATCTTTCTATCGTGATAATAGGATCAATTATCTTGCATGTTAAATCTTATCGCATCCTGTTTATCATGTGTTTCGCCATATTCCAAGCATGTTCACATATACATGTATACATAATTTTTAATTTTGTATATAAAACATCGTATATATAAATGAATCAAATCTTAAATTTAAAATTATGGAGGATAAACAAAATGATGTATTCGGATACATAGTTTACATAATGTGAAGATGTTTTGAAAAATTTGAAGGTGACTTTCTTTTTCATTAGAGAAAATTATTTGTATAAAAATAATATATATAATTCAAAATTCTTTCTGATATTTTTTTAAACAGAAATGCAAAAACATTAAATGAATTTAAATGATAAATATTTTGTGCCATACAGGATGTTCACAAATAAATTAAATTATAGGTTTAAAATGATAAAAAACAGAAAAAAGATTATTGAAATATTGTTTTTTTTATCGTAATTGCGTAATAAAATTCTTTTTCCGTCTTTTATTATTTTAAAAATATAATTTTGCACATTTTTATTTTCTTCGTTACATGCAATCTTCTCTTGCAATTATAATTCATATATGTTATTTTAAATAATTACCAATTAGTTGCATAATTTACCATTATTCAACAATTAAATAACAGATAAACGCATTTAATTGATTGCTTTTAAGTATAATATAGTAATAATAAGAAGCAAGTGAAATATCTAAAAATGAACAAAAAGGAAATTGATTGATCGAAGTAGTTAAAAACATAAAATTCAATTACAAATTCAAAATTTTTACTTCCTAATTTTGCATAACTAATTACTTCAATTTTGATCATCTTGGTTTTAAACGTCTATCAATTTAATCTATATAATTTAATGATTATATTATCTATGAGACTAATATCGATTGATTAATTACTATCGTTTCCGATCGTAATTTCAATTCTAACGATAAAATCGTCAAGAACAAAATATTTAGATAAAATAATTGAATAAAAGAAAATTTTTAGTAACTTTATTAATAAATTATTAATAATATTTCAATTTTTTGAAAAAAGATTTATATTACACATATAAATTCCTTTTTCGTAAACTTTTTAATTTTTTAATGCTAAAAGTTTAAAATAAAAATATAATTATAATATAAATACAAAATAATAATGTATAATATATATATATATTTCTAATCTGGATCGATAATTTGAAATGCAAAAAAAAATAATCAATATACATTCTCGATCGATAAATTTGCATATTAATATAATTTAAAATAGAATCATATGTCATCCTCTTTGTTCATCTGTAAAATAAATTTACAAGAAACAAGGAATTCGCATTAGGTTAGCATCTTTAAAATATTCGTCAATTTTAAAATGCATTTTAAAATGCAATTTTAAAATTATTAAATCATTTGCTTGTTTTAGATTCATTTTAGAACAACTTGTAATAAAACGAAAAAAATTCCATCAAATAGATTTTAAAAGATTTTAAATATTTCACATTATAAAAAATAAAAATTTTCAGAAATAAATGAAAATAATTTCAATCGATTTAATGCGTAACTTTGTTTTTTAAATATTATAATCTAAAAATAAAAAATTAATGATAAAAATTCATATCGAAACCTGATATGTGCTATTATATTATTTTATTTTTATTTGTTAAAATAAATTCCAAGAAATTTTTTAATAACATTTGTTGCAATGAACTAAATTATCATCAAAGCTTATTCTATTGGTTTATTGATTAATCGGATAAAAAAATTAGCGATATTTTTTTCTTTCGGTTATCTAATCGATGAAGAATATTTTCTATGCATATGGTTTTCATCTTTTCCTATTGCAAGTTTTACGAACCGTGCAATGAGTTCTATATTCAATCTAACGTGAAAGTATATACGTACGTCCTTGGCGCAATAAACGCTACTTTCAGCTGGAACAAAGAGTGCCACGCAATAAAACGTCGAGTGGTGCTCGTTCCACACTCACTTCCCCGTTTGTCCCCACTATTCATTTTATTAACTTCAAAGTGACGAATTTGTGCAAGCTGTATAGTGATTCATACGAATCTATTTTTAATAGGGAATCTAATCTTAGATGAGATAGAACATCTTATTGTATAATGAAATGTTTCCTAAAACATTTTCAAAATTTTATAAATAACGAGAAATTTGTTTATTGAATTTTTATGAAAAGATTAAAAATTTTTAACTTTTCCATCTCCAATTAAAATATATATTAGACTGATGGGAAAGTTGTATTACTAGATTTTATTTAGATTTATACATTTAGAGATTTATTTAGGGATTCTCTTATATCGCGGATAATTTTAATGTACAGATATATTTTTAATTATTGAAATATAAACTGCGTAAATTTTGTGATAATTTTGTGATTTTAGATCTCGTAATTCTTTTTAAATAATGTAGTGAATTTTTTATCCGATACAAAATTTAGAACAAAAAGATATTTATATATAAATATATATAAATTGCTAATTTGCGAAGATGCATATTTTTTCGATTATTCGTATTGTTATTTCTATGTATTTTCGTTTGAACATCCGAATATCATTTATTTGCAACAAATATAACGTTAATTTGTAATAATTAAAAATTAGTGGTTTATAAAACTTTTTAGAACACATATAATTATATATAAACACACGTGCAAATAACATACGTATAAGTTGTTTTCTATTTAAAATATATTTGTGCAAACAATGTGATATTACGAAAAGAATTAATCCTTTTGCTATTGTGCTCTATTTTATATTGGCACAGTTTTTTCCTCGTGATTTTTGAAAAATTATTTTATTTGCGATTATTTTTATTTATGATTATTTAAATATAAAAATTTTATCACTTATTTATTTCAATATCTATAAAATATCACATATATAAAATATATGATACAAGTATCATAATATTTTATATTTATATTTACAGTTTGTCCTCGAAAAATGAAATTTTATCATTTTGATTTTATCTTATTAAACATGTTTCTAAAAGAGTTAAAAAAATACTGGTGTAATATTATTTTATAACCAATATTCTAATAAATTGTTGTATGAATGTTCCATAAATTATTAACGCAATTATGATAATACCGTAATATGAATTTATATTATTTGTGGCTTAATAAAACTGACACTCGCGAGAATTATAAAATACAGAAGAATTTTCATAATATGCAAATGATAAAATTATATCTACAGTCGGATCAAGACACAATATTTTCTACGATTAAATTGTTTTTTTATTCGTTTCAAATCTTTTCTCTCTCTCTCTCTCTCTC